TTTTTCAGTAACTTAAAAGTTGTTAATGATATCCAATAATAGTCAAGCTGTCCATGGTTGAGCCCCGTTATTTGACAAAGAATTCAATTTTGAATATTAGATTGATGGAAAACACGTAGTTAAAAAATAAGGAAAAAAATTTAAATTTGTCTGTAATATTATTTTATTGAAGAATGTGTGGATGAGAAAAAGAGAGTAAAAAATGTATTTTGAAAATAATCGACGAAAAAAAAAAATTTTAATTGCATGATCACCAAATATGAAATAACATTGTAACTTCATCAGTAAATGATGATCAAAGCAGATCAAAATGTGATTTTGCCAGACACATGAGCAGTTTTTGTATGTCAGTAAATTTAAGAGAAGAAAAAGTCCTCAACTGCACAAATGAAATAATGTGTAAAATAATTAAAAAAAAAAATGAAAAATAGAAAACATTTTTTTTTTCCTTAATCATGTGCAATGTCGACTATCAACAAGTATAACGCATCAAACATGTCAATAGTCTAACGACTTTGAAATGATGACGTAATTGGCTCGATGAATTGGACATCAATATACAAACTAAGATTTTCTTGGTACTAAGCATCAAACAATTTAAACGTAACTAAAACAAAAGAAATGCAGAGAGATGAAATGAAAAGTAATTACCGCTTGTTGAGCTCCGGTGAGATATATGGCCAATGAGCATTTATCTTTTCCAGGACAAAGCGCCGTCAATGTAACGTCGGTTATTGCCGGAACCACCATGAAGTTGGCGAAGCAGTATAGGAAAACCGTCATGTAGAGGTGGCTCAGCCCGAATACCTTCTCCATCTCTCTCTCTCTCTCTCTCTGAATGGCTTGTGGGAAAAGGGTGGTGAAGAAGAGCCTTTATATAGTGTCCGAGGATTCTTAAAGCCACAAATTAAAGAACTTTAACTTAAAGCAAATATATATATATATGTCTTTCTCTTTTAAGTCTTTATTTATATTGTTCAAATGTACCTTGCATGAAAAATATAAATAAAGACTTAAAAGAGAAAGACATATATATATATATTTGCTTTAAGTTAAAGTTCTTTAATTTGTGGCTTTAAGAATCCTCGGACACTA